TCTGTTCTCCCTTTCTTGTTTTAACTAAAATACTGTCATTCTATGCACTGGGTTCTGAACTCAAGGTACATGTGTTTCCACCCTGGTGGGCTCTATTCCTTGAGTGCAGAGATTGAAACATGCATTACCTTTTGCTCCTGTGTTCATTAGAGAAGCTTCTAAAATGTGACCTTAACGGTGGCCTTAGTGTGGCATTGTGGGTTAATGCACTGGAGTATAAGGTTGGTTTGAATCACAAAGTTGGCAGTTTAAGCTCATCAGCTTTGAGTCAGAACCGACTTGACGGCACTTACCAACAACAAAAACAATGGTAACTCTAGGGAAATCATAGCTACTTATGTTTTTTGTATGTGGTAAAAGAGACAATCCTACTCCAACCTACATCACACAGATTGAATGAAAGCTAAATGTGTGAACAAAATCACAGTATAACTTGAGAAAATTGAGATCCAACGGACACGGGAAATTCCCTTCTTTAAATATGTCTTTTGTTTCTAGCAGGGAAATCCTGGAGGCAAGACCCTTGAGGAGAGGCGCTCAAGCCTGGATGCTGAGATCGACTCCCTGACCAGTATCTTGGCTGACCTGGAGTGCAGCTCCCCTTACAAGTCTCGGCCTCCACAGGTAAGTGTTGACCTGTTGCCCATTAACACTCTCCATGTTTCCAGCCACACTCTACTCTCATCTGAAGGAACCAGCTTCTTTTTCTACCTCTGTAATTATTATTTGTTCTTCTCTGGGCCAGTGTTCTAAGTTGTCCTTTTATTAATACCAATATGTGCTAGTGTCTTAGGCTGGGTTCTCTAGAGAAGTAACACCAGTAAAAACTTATATATATAAAGAGAAGCTTATATCAAGGAATGACTTACACAGTTGTAGAAGTTGACAAGTCCCAAGTCAATTGGTCAGGTGTCAGTCTGGAGGCTTCTGAGTCACTTAGCTGTAGGGTTGATGAACCAGACTATAAGCAGGTAAGGACTCCCAGGTTCAGCAGGGAGAAGAGCAGTCCACTGGCTCAAATCCATGGAACTGGAGGTTGGTTGATGAGTCAGATGCAGACTCCAGACCCAACAGAAAAGCAACGAAGTTTTTCTCTAGTGTTCTATATATTGGAAGCAGGCTGCACTGCCTAGGAATACTTCCTTTCAGTTGATTAGCTGCTCCCATCAGATCTCATTATGGGAGATGATTTCATCATAACTGGAAACCATGGAGTATCATAGCCCAGTCAAGTTGACACAAAACCTGTGCTATCACATTTAACAGGTAGACACTACTTAAATTGATTTTACAGTATTTTATTTAAGGACAGAACATTTCACAAAAATGTCATGAAAAATATGAAGGGGCTTAGGGAAATTTCATGGGAGAATTCCATTATTTTTTAATTCCACATTTCCATGAATTTTTGGAAGTCTCATAAACCTTTTCTTACTCAATGACCTTATTTTTTCCTAGCTTTGCATATATAGGTACTTTATTATAAACGATTATAGTCCTATATACTTTGATTTACCATGGTTAAGTAAAATTAAGGTGAAGGGCTAAATATTTTGTAAGGAAAATCTTTACATGGGATATTGATTTTTTTTTTTCAGATTTTTATTGTTGTAATAACAAATGTTGCATGGTGCATACTTATGTGTATTTTCTTTAGATTAACTTCTTTGTCTCAGATTCCTAACAGTGGTATTTTTACATTAGGATGTATGACCATTTTAGTTTATCCTTTCAAAAGGTAGTAAATAATTCATACCAGTACCTTCAGTTTTCGAGTACTTGTGTGGCACTGTAGTAAAACTGTTGGAATGTTAACCAGAAGGTTGGTGGTTCAAACCTCCCAGCCAATTGCCTTGTGTTGGAACTGACTTGACAGCATTTAACAGGAATAACAACAACCTTTAACTGGATCAGTTTTATCTCAATCTCACCAGACTTTCATGATAATAATTAGTGTTTTGCATGTAAATGATGCCTTGTTATCAGTTTTTCTGTGTAGTTCTTGGCTTCCTTTGTTGTCATTGTTAAGTGCAGCCTAGTTAGTTTCAACTCCCAGCAACCCTGGATAGGGTTTCCAAAGAGCAGCTGGTGGGTTTGAACTGTCGATCTTGCAGTCCAAACCCATCTTGCGGTCCAGAGTATTCATTATCCTGTAGCACCACTCCAGGATTCCTTGTTTCCTTTAGAGCTTGACTGTTTTCTGTGTCTTAGTTTTTTTCTGCACTTAGCAAGATGATCTTCCTTTGCATGGTGATTATTCCCTGCCTGTCTGGCTTGTTGAGAGTATGAATGGCAAGATCTGCTTCAGGGCTTCCAAGTTCACGGAATATAGCCCGAACAACTGTAGACTCAATCCTTGGATGTACACTATGATTCTTCTATTGTTAATTGATTCTTGTGTGACTTAAGCTTGACTTAAGTGACAGTGAAATTGGTGCTCTGAGTCCTGCTCCATTTCTCCAGGCAGCTTCTATATTAACAATGGTTTATTTCACTAATTGAAAACAAGTCCTGCTTCTCTGCTGTCAGTCATCCCCACACTTATCTATGCATATGGCTGTAAATGCTTCCCTCTACCTCCCCACAGTACTCCCATTACTTTGTCTGGACATGTAATAGGACTGTCAGCTATGTAAGGCAAATAGTGGTCACTCTTGTTCCATGTCTAGAAAACATACTAGAGTTTAACTTTTCCTTAGCTATCTTTTTCCTTGGCTGTATAAGAACTCTCAATAGTAAAAATGTAATTCAATTCTATAATTATGAACTGAGTATATGTATATAACAAGCACTGTGCTTCTTAGAGAGAACTGGCAGGAGAAGGAAAATGGAAGCTTGAAAAGGAGAAAAATGGGATTCAGTTCCTATGTTTGGGGAACTCCTTATGTTATAAGGTGAACTATGGCAGATACTGTAGAATTACTGGGAAGGAAGTAATACGTTCTTTTGGAGGTGGCGGAATCTGAGATGGTTTATCTGAAGACTTGCAGTTTTAGTTGAAGTTGTTGTTGTTAGTTGCTGTCCAGTCAACTTGAACTCATGAGGCCTTCATATGTAACAGCAAAACATTGTCCACTCCTGTACCATCTTCAGAACCATGGGCATGTTTGACACCATTGTTTTGGCTGCTGTTTCAGTGCATCTCATTGAGCACTTCCCTCATTTTTGCTGACCTCTCTATTTTACCAAATATGATATTCTTTCCTAGCACTTGGTCCTTCCTGATGATTTGTCCAAAGCAAGTGAGCCTAAGTCTCACCATCTTTTTTAATGAGCTGAGGACCATTTTTGATTATTGTATGTCTTCTGACTTGCTTACTCATTTTTCTGGCAATTCACAGTATAGTCAGTGTTCTTCACCAATACCACAATTGGGATGTATCTTCTGTCTTTTTCATTGACCAATTTTTGCATGCATATGATGT